CATACAATATGGATGTTAAATCGAAACTATCAAAAGAAGATTAATTTGATATATTACATATGTAAAATTGATAAAAAAATACAAAAGTTATTAACTTTTAAAATATATATACAATTCAATAGTTATAATAAGGAATGATATTAAAATGCAATTAATACATGTAACATGACCATAAATAATCAACATATTTATGGTAATCCGAACCTAATTTTTTTGGTTTGGAATTAAATTAAAATTTACTCAAGCCTAATAACGAAGCATGTAATTTTGCCACATAGGATTCCGAAGCACCAGAAACAGCCACGTAGGCTCATCGCGTTCAGGATTAATATATAAGGAGGATTTATTTTTCTGAAACGATAGAATTTATATATATAAAAAAAAAATGGCTAAAGTCCATACAAAGACATACAGAATCAGCTACAAACAAGTCCAAAGAGCACCAGCTCCATACCAAACCAATCCAAAGAGGTAGAGAAGATCTCTCGGTAAAGGCAAATGCTTAGAACTCGAGAGTCCAACTCTATTTCCCACTGAAAGATATTTTTGTTTGGCATTAGTTCGTTGGTTCGAACAAGCACCTGGAACCACAGAAAAAAAGAAGATCTTTATATTATATTATTTCCTTACTTCGTTTATTTTGTATTCCATAATATAAGATTGCATGGATCTTATTATGGTATCTTCTTTTGTAGGAAATCGGAAATAGGTGGAAACCGAGAGAGAGAGAGAGAGAGAGAGAGAGAGAGAGAGAGGGATGTGTGACTAGGAGATCTAGGAGAGAGAAGAGGAGATCCACTTACCAAAATACTTGCTACGTACAAGGAAGGAAATCATGTGAGGAGTCCCATTCTTGGAGAAGACTCCAACCCTAAGGAGTTCATATAAATACCATATGAGAAGCTCTTATTGCGGCTGCTGAAAAAATAATTAACATAGAGCAATATTCGAGCTTGAGATATATATTCAGTTCTGTTCAGTTTTGTACACAGTTCAGTTCGAGGGTTCTTACGTTTCCTAGAACTGAAGCTGTTTTAGTTTAGTTTTTTTTTAATTTTGCTCAAACTATTTTTTGTGTTTTACACTTAGGGAATAAGTGTAGGTTTAAAAAGTCCACGGGATGTGGCCGGAGAAATATTTGATATGATCGTGAATAGTTGTGGCTAGACTAGAAGGGAGTTCGAGTCTTGTAAGTCCAAACTATGTCAATGTACGGTTTATCAATGAAAGAGTTCTGAGTGTAATGCAAGTGTATGCGTCCTGGTCCGGTTTGGGGTAGATCGATTCTTTTCCTCGCCGGTAGAACGCTGGAAACCTGCAAATAACTCTCACACCGGGAGTTGTGTCCGGTGAAGAGCCTCCGATGCTTAAGTCAGTATGTGTATGAGTATACTGGAGTTGAATAATGGAAAGTCGTGTTAAGGAAGAAAGGCTCACCCCCTTTTTATATGAGTAAAATACCTGCCCTAAGGCTGCCTAAATTTGATGAGCTATCTGCACAAGCTATCCGTCCGTACTCTGACACACAACGCACATGTCAGAGGTGGCGCGGGACGTTGGGAGCTGTCAGAGGTGGTTGTCCTATCAACCAATAGGTTCTCGACACGTGTCCTCCTACACATGGGATAAATATTCTTCTAAAATTCCGTTAAAGGCTTTCACACGCGCCTGTGACTAGGCCGACCCGTGGAGTGTTAAGTCCACGGGGTGATCGATCAATTGAGGTCGACTAGGTTGCTGGATCACTTATCTGGTCGAACGATGGATTGGTCGACTGGTTGACTGGTCGATCTTCCTGGCACTTAGCTTGGTTCCCCTATGGCACAACCTCCTCGACTGGTTCGGTGGACCGGTTTACCCTTGTGGGTATAATATCCTATATCATCTAGTCCCCCCCACTCTGGTCGAGTCTGAATGACTTGATCTGTGAGTGAACTTGTGCTCACCGCTCTCCTGGATTGTATTTCACTCGATATCGACAATCTGATGAGTTTCTCGCTTACTTTTTCAAATAATTCCTCATTAATTGCCAGAAATAAAGTCGCATGTCCTTTCTACCATGCTTACTTTTCTGCCACGCGTCGTATCTGTCAAATACTTTAATCATTGCGTCTCCTCGCATAACGCGCCCACCTTGAGTGCCGTGTGAGTTAATGCTCTCCACCGTAAGATCTGGCTTTAATCCAATGGTCCTTATCTTTCAACCCTTCAACTCTCCAAGGTATAAATTCAACACTTAGCAAATTTTCCAAGTTTTTTCCACCTTGGCAATTTCAAACTCTCCTGTGCTCAGAATTCCTTCTGCAAAAACCCTGATTTTTTTCGGCGATTCCTCCTGAAATCCTCGAGCTTCTCCAATTCCCTCATCTGCGATTATGAGTAAGTTGGTCCTCGCCTGACTTTACGTTTCCTGTATCCGAGATTTTGCGTTTTGAATTTCTTGAATTGGGTATCTAAAGTTTGCTGATTGAGTGTTTTGAATTTGTGTGTTGGATGCCTGTGTTTGCTTGTTAATCACTGTGAATTTTGCCTTTTTCTTCGAAAATCTCCCGAAATCCCTGTTCTCCTTCTTTAATTTCTCCAAAATCGCCTCTTCGTAGAGCCCTAGCTTTGAAAACCTTCTCCTCTCCCCCTTTTTCTTTTCGTTAGAAATCTTCTTTTTGATATTGTTCTTTTTCTTTTTCTTTTTTTGTTTTTTCCAGATTTTGCTACTTCGACCAACTCCTCTGACTCGGTTCAAATATTGCCCTCTGCACTCGAAGTTGTTCCTCTCTCTATCCTTCGCCCCGGCGATACCATTCCTACCCGTGTTTTTACAGCACGCATTTCTTCTCCCAAGTCCGGGGATACTATGGATAACATTCCTCTCCGCCATCGTCGACCCGCCTTTGGCTCGTTAGATGAGCCGGAGGAGGATGAGGTCATTTCTTCTCAACCCACTTTTCCCACATCTTCGACCATTCCTCCTTCTTCCTCCCAACCTGGCACTTCTGCCTCTCTTCCTAAAAAATCCTCGACTAAAGAATCTTCTAAAACCTCTTCCAAGCGTCAATCTTCTTTTTCTCTCTCTAGTGATTGGCTAAGTCCCGCGAAAATCGCCCGACCTATTGGCTGGGCATTCTATAGCTCTTCTCGATCCGACAAATACGACCATCCTCCAAGCAATTGCTATACCTTCTTCGAGATCCAATTCAAACTTGGCCTTCGTTTCCCTCTGAACCCTGAGCTACTTCGCATTTGCGAGTGGTTCTCGCTTCCCCTGCATCAGCTCCCTCCTAACGCCATCCGCTTCATGACCACTTTCAACATCCTCTGTCACGTCCGCTTAGGTCGATTCGACCTGGCCTTCTTCCACTACTGTTACGCCCCTTTCAAGCAAGGTCGAGGCCTTTACCTTAAAAGTCGCAACGACGCTCACTTTATCAATCACATTCCTTTCAATCTTCCTAAGTGGAGTGACGGATTCATTTTTGTCCAGCCCGATGTCCCTTTCCCTTAGCCCTTTATCCCTTGGGTCAAGGAACTTTCCCAAGAGGCGGCATCGACCTCTCCTCCAAACCCTCTTTTCGACCAACGGGTCCACACTTGAAATTCCAAGTCCGTTGCGTCAGAAAGACTTCTCAAGGACAAAAACCTTCTTCACCACTGTGATCTTCTTACCCACAAAACCTGTCTGCCACCAGTGATGAGATTCTCGATCTTATTCAGATTGAGAATGACCCAGGTACTTTTCAATCAGTTTGCTCGAGTGCTCATG